TTACGGGATCGGAGACCCTCTTTTAAGCTGGTTCGCCAACTTTCTACTTCAACGGCAATTAATGGTCAGAGTTCGGAGCTCTTTATCGAACCGCATACAAGTTGAGTGCGGTGTGCCCCAAGGCTCGGTTCTAGGTCTACGTTTGTTTTTGGTGTTTATTAATGACCTTGCACAGGGAATCGCTTCAAACTTCCTAATGTTTGCCGACGATATCAAGATCTGGCGCAGGATCCAGGCGAACACCGACCAACATGTGCTTCAGAGGGATGTAGATACGGTGTATCAATGGTCGACCAAAAACTTATTGCATTTCAACGTCAGTAAATGCAAGGTGCTTTCCATCCGACATCAAAGCAGCTACTCATACCGACTCGGAACGGATGTACTGCAACAATCAACTCTCGAACGTGACTTGGGTGTCCTGGTTCAAGATGACTTGGGTTGCTCCAGGCAATCCGAAAAGGCCTCGAAGACCGGGAACCAACCCGTCGGGTTGCTGCGACCAGCGTTTGGACAAATAAACAGCTCCATATTTCCACAAATGCTCAGTGCGTATGTTCGCCCCCATGTCGAATATGCAGTTCAAGCCTGGCATCCATGGCTGAAACACGACCTTAATGCACTGGAGCAGCCACAACGCCGGGCATCTAAGAAGGTAATTGGAATGCGCAATCTTTCCTACCAGGAGAGGCTGCGACGACTGGGATTGTTCAGTGAAAGATGTCGCAGTCTACGAGGCGACCTGATTGTGACATACTTGATTCTGCGAGACCCACATCATGTGTCCCGCCCTCTATTGCAACTCAGCAGCAATACAAACCTGAGGGGCCACTCATTAAAAGTCGCAGAACAATACAGTCGTCTGGAGTGCCGCAGAAATTTTTTTTCCATCCGTTTCTGTCACCCGTGGAATGCTCTCTTAAAATTGGTCGTCTCTGCACCGACACTAACAGTATTTAAAAGACGGTTGGACGATGCACTCATCCACTTACACCTTTTTTACTTAACACTACGTCTCCATCCTACACCTGGAGTTTACCATGGGATTATTTGTTGTTCACTGTGGATACTGTGAATCAAAGAGGATCGCAGGACTGCAGCGAAGCAAACGATAAGTACTTATTTTCATATTTAAAGTATAAACTATTTTACTATCCTTATCATCCTTATTGTTATGTTGAGATCCCCTGCAACTATCCAACGTGAGTTGTAAAGCAACGCTTCTTAACCCGTATAAATTCATTGTTCATTGTTCATTGTACGTCAGGTCGAGAAGCGAACGTGGCTACCAAAACCAGACTGGAATGTTAATACCTGCAATCAAGCGGCCTCTGAGGTGCACCTCCGACTTTACCCCGAATAATCACTAGCAGGCTTGGGCACAATATTGCAAAATAAAATCGCCTACAGGCTGAGTTCGCTAATGCTGTAAACTATTGTGGTTTGCTCGCGCAGCAACCACAGAACTCCATAGCATTAAATGGTCCATGAGCAAAACCTTCTATTCGTCCTACGCGGTTTTGTTGAAAGTTTCGTATAAACCAAATTTGGCAACTAACTACCTAGTTCGACCAATAAAAATTATGGAATGGACTAGGTTCAAGTCCCCCTGCGTTTCGGGGTTAGGTATTCAATGTTACCCTCAATATACCGAGGAGAACCGTGCACATCCAAATTTTCGATTTCAGAATTCATCGTCTAAACGAACACTGACCACGACGTCACCTGTGTTATTTACATATTCGGAATGTTCCTAGGCTGCAACCGAACACGCCTCAACACATAATAAGTATACCGGATGGAGTTCAAGTTACGCGGTAGATATTTTTGAGCAACATGTTATACGGCAGAACAGCTATGTTAATTAGTTACTATCACCACACCAAACCAAGAGACCGACCAGGGTTACCTATGTTTTAGGCGATACAGATGCCCCATAAATCCGTTAACATTTGCACCACTGATTTTGCTTCGGTGATGCAATGTAAATGCGTCGTCGACAGTCTCATCCGGAACCGAACTGCTCTAGGAATCAACAACGAAAGCATAATCAAGCGGCTTTTGTGAAAACACAACCTTTTGTCCCAGTAGTGCATCGGCCTATGCAGCCCTGGGTCCTCAGTCACACACCATTACCATTGCGAAGTCTCGCACGAATCAAAAACGAAGTCTGTGTCATGATCACAACCCAAAAATAGACAATTTGTATACTCTAATGAAGTAGTTCGGAATTGACTTCTGTTGATGGAGTGCCTCTGGTGGAGGACAACTGATTTATCGATCGGGCTAATTGCCCCTGAAGCATTTATAGTATGATGTTCGTGTGTGTGTGTGTGTGTGTGTGTGTGTGTGTGTGTGTGTGTGTGTGTGTGTGTGTGTAAGGATGGCTGTTGAACGAGTGGGGACCAATCGGTCACCGATAGCCCCTTAGCTGGTTGTTCCGGCACAGTTTTCTTTATTGACACAACGCATAATTTGTCTCAATGGGCTATCTCTAAATCCAGTATTGCCGATACATTTAGCAGCTGATATTATTGCGGCGTAGTTGGTCGCTGTAAACCCAGATGGGGCAAACCCTATGCTAGAAGATAAGTGGATTCGGAGGGATCTACTTCTATTGTGGCAACTTCCAATCCCGTTTACCAACTAGCATCAAAAGACACGAGGAGAGGCGACATCCAAGACCGGTAGCCGGGACACCCTGAAAGTGTACAGTCTGCTTGACTCAGATGCAGTCAACGGTTCAATAAACAAATTGCCCAACTGCTTAGGTACTCCATGCAGCCATAACTTTTTAGTATTTTATGTGACCTATCGCATTTACAAGTGAAAATCTCCTGACCTTCACTGTGTCACGCAGTAATGGAATCACGTAGTATTCTGTACATACCTATGGGACTCTAGGTATTTGGTGCTTACACTTATTAAATGTCCGGACCACTTTATACCTTCAATTATGTAGTAGGCTACACATCCCACCTATATCCATGGTTATCCAACGTCATGTTGCCTGGTGGACAACGACGCCACCAAGTTTGTGTGGCTTGTCCAATTTGTGATGCCAGGAATGTGTTGAATGTCAGAGGAGGGTGAATACGAAAGGATTCCTGAGTGTCTTCTGATGTGTTTACTTGTTTGATGCCGACTCGGACTGTGCCGAACGGTCGAGTTCCCTCTACATAAACATGCTAGCGTTACGTTTCTGCGAAGCATATTGTGTAAACCTTTTAATGTGTGTAGGTACATGACATCTCTGTATGTCTTTGAACTTGAAATTGTAAGGATCTGTGTTGTTGTCAATGCTTAATTGTAATTTGCTCTTGACAAACTGATTAAAACCTTCCTAGTAGTCTTGCTAAACTTCCATTCTTCCTTCCTGAAACTGAACGGCGTCGGAGAAGAGTAACAGTAGGTCATAAGGGAAAGCGAAGCATGAAATAAAGATAATGTCATTGCACGAAAACGAGTTCAGCTGTGGAGGCAATGTGGTGAACACACTCTACGTCGCGAGGAGTGCCAGCACCAGCAGAACGAACCTACTGACGCTGCAGCCTGAAACGTTGTTCGTGAATTTCAGGAGGCTGTAAGCGACAGTCAGCGATGTACGGTGGTAATGGCTCGGCTGCTAATGTTGATAATGGTGTGTACGCAACACATTGGGAATGGATATTTTCGAACCAAAGTTTTAACTGTTTTTAATTAACTCGTGGGCTACTGAACTTCCGAGCATATGCATGGGCCTCAAGTCCTACATTGTCTACTTGCAAAGAGTAAAAGGTTTGCACAATACCAGAGCGTTCACTGTGAAACTAAAGGACGACAACTGCGTGTTATTCGTGGATGCCAATATCACCAGGATAACGGACGGGTACATGAAGATAAGATTGCACAAGAATGAAACAGAGTGGTCAATGTGTCCGTTTCGTAAGCTTGGTTCCAGTAAGTGAGAAATAAAACCTCGTCCGTCATCTAACAAAAAGGGAGTAGGACGCGCTTTTGCACTAGTTGAGTTTCGTTCGAAGCGTATTCGAACAAAGTGGCTACCAAGCCAAGTTCATCCGGAGGCACAGGGTGATGAGAACACCAAATATCCAACCGGCCACCCAAGAAATACAGTTATTCTGCCTGTTCTTACCTTTTAATGGCGATGTAACAGCAAAACGAAACACCAGTGCCCCTGCAATGCCACCGCGAGACCGTAACATGCAAATGACATCCGTTTCGTTATCACTTCAACACCGGTCGTGAGACGGTAACTCAAGGACAGAATATTGAGGTCACATGTTTCTTTCTGTTGGCACAATTCTTCTTGTTCGTGTCGAGAAGTCATATTTGGAAAACGACCGAGTGATTTTCTGTAAGAGTCATGGAACATTGACTGGTGTGGCTCTAGTAGGGTGACGAAGACAGTGACGAGCGCGGCGTTATCACACTTGGTCAACTCGAGTAATCTACTCGTAGTACAATTGGCATTCGACCCATCTACCGAACATCAGGACGTCACTCGCGAGCAATCAAATGCCCTCTGTTAGGGACAGCGGAGGCGATCATTATTCATCTCCATGCTCCGTTCTTGCGTACGCAAAAGGAATGGTCTAAGCCCTTCACCTACTGTGGTCACAAGTCACCTCGGCTTACAGCTGCGATTTGAGTGCCTCACATAACCTTCTCCTAGAAAGCGCTTTCACACAGCTATTATGATTAGATGGCTGGTTTCATTGATTCATCCCATTCAAATATGATGCGTTCGCTTGATTCCTAGCCGCTGTGGTGCATTGGCCCAATGAAAATAACGGAAAGCATGGTTGCTTAATGTGCACATGTTTGCTACTTTTCTCCTTCCCTGAGTTATTACTGTGACTATCTTGTTGTTCAAGTTTTAGCTATTTACAAGCTGAAGAATTACATGCAGGTCACGCATGATGTTGCATCATTTTCCGGTGGTGCTCATCATCCAAGTTTTTATTTGCTGTTCGACCGTTGCAATTCTTTTCTATTCAATGAGTCCTAACCGACTGCCCGTTCTTTTCAATGTGAGTTCAAGGCGTTATGGAGACGCCAGCTTCCCACAGTAAAATTCCCGCAACCTGTCTACTTGGATACAGAGTGGGGTTCCAGGTTATGGCTGAAGACCCTCTACACAGTTTGAGTATGTGAAGAGTATTGTGGATACTAGTACCAGTGCAAGAGTAAACAAACAGTAACCAATTACTGTGCAAAATGACACAAATCACTAGGCAGTTTTTCACCTTTTTCATTGTTTGTGCATACTTTTCAGCCTCACATCCTCTTCTGGGTCGGTTTGTTTGCCTCAAAAACAACACAATGTTCATCCACTCAAATGGGTTGCGATTTCGGCTTCTTTCAAGGCCACTTGCTATTCGCCAAAGTCACGATGTCTCATCGGCCGATACGTCTATTTAGACCTACCGGGTGTGTTTGGTACTAGAGGACTACTAAAGTGCTGAACTAAGATGCCAACTCCGCCTGTGCTCACCACTTCGAGTGCCGTGTAAAACCGATTAAAGTTAGATGCGTTGAAATGTACCCTTGAGGAGACACTTGCCAATTTCTGACGCGGGATAGTCCCCATTGCTGCAGAGTTGCCTTGTTCACTAGCGCCACTAAGGCACTCAAACCCGATTCGGCACAATGCATGCACTTTTTTGCCAAGGGACTACATTTTCGTCGGTCTAAACTCCAAAGAAAACACTCGGTATATCCGTCTTCCGGATAAGTGACTCCCAAGAGAAATAATTGACAGTGAACGCGGATTGCCGGAGATAAACCAAGGAATGTAAGCTGTGCATTTTAGTCTGGGAACCATTTATAGAGTGAATGGTGAATTGCAGGTGCGTTTAGCGATTGTTCCAACTCATAAATCGCTCACTCCATTCCTTACACACATTTGAACACAAATATCGTGTCTTTCGACAGATGCTTGTGTGTGTGCGGCGTCGTGCATGACCAACTGATCCAGTGGATTGCGTGTTAGGCCACAACCAAACGCGCTTTAACAGCATCGAAATGGGAAGCACGACAATCGGTGTATCATAATTGAAATGCCATTAGGCATTTCATTACTCAGTGCATAGCCGGAACACTTATGCTCACCTTATCACTCTACCTGCCCCCTTCATGCACACCCGACCCTTTTTAGTTCCAAACGTTCAGCTGTTGCATACGCTCAGCGATTCCCATGCGTTGTGAATTAAGATTGGGGCATAAAGGTAAGAGGTAACTGTGTTATTTTTTGTCTGCCAAACTATCCCGGCACTTAGCAATGTGAATGGATATTTCGCATGCTCATCTGATGCTACATCGTCCTAACCAGGGCGTAAGAATTCCATCAGTTGTTATTATGGAGACAATTGTATCTATAGCTTGGGGCTTAACCCGGGATGATAGAACGGGTACTCAATGTTACGACTAATAACCACGACGGAACCACGACTCCAGTAGAAGTCTCCCCCGTGTGCTAGCAATTGCTCCACTACAGACATGCAAAAAACTAAAAAGGAGGAAAGTTAACAGAACAAATTGTTGACGTTATTCCCGATTTTCCATACCACCTATTCGGTCATGAATTTGCGAAAATATCGCAGATAGAGAGAGACAAAACGACACTTGTATACACAACGTGCTAACTCCACTGTTCGATATCACCACAGAGGCTTTGTGAGAGCGGAATCAAACTATTCTTTGTGTTACATGATATTTCGACTTCAAAGCAGAACAACTCCCTTGTGTTGCCAGCTGGGTAGTTGGTGTTTACTCCGCTCCAGCCAACAGTTCGGCTGCAATGTTCCAGGACATGGTGGGTTTTCGCCTGGCAAGATTTCTCTCTATAAAAAGCCACAAGTGTCTGTTTAGCGACACTGCAACGTGGCGGTTGTGACCCGCCACAAACTAAAGTCTCTGCTATTTGCTTATCTGGCGAATCCTATCATATCCATCATATCACATCGACGACGCGATCAAACACTCAGAAATGCAACCACACATTTAAAAACTCAAGCAACACAGCTACACATATGGTTATTGGTATGCAGTCCAAGATTTGCCTGTCACTGCGGCCTCCATATGACAGTCACAGGACGCCTGCACCTACAGAGAGACCATTGGTGGCTTGCTCTGCCCCACCCACAGCTTCATTCACATACTCCATATCCAGTGTATACCCAAAGCAATCAGACCAGAAGCTATGTGAATGAGAGCCAGGTCTCATAAACGAAGTAGGTCCACACTCCTTCAAAGTGCACAACAACCAAATTCGTGTCCATCTGCTTTGGGAATCATGAGTAGCAGGCGTACACAAGGCGGTGGCTGGATCGTAGTCCGTTCCACACTGGATGGGACCACACTTTGAGTCTAGGGCGGCCACAAGGATCGTGCATCCCGTTCCCTCTATAGACGATTAGCCGTCTCCTGGAGCAAGTAATCTAGGTGGAGGATTCTGGACAACATTCACATCAAGCGCAGCCACCAGGGGGATGTCAAACAATCAACAAACCATTTGAATGCAAATTAACACGAAAACTTGGCACGGAATTTGCAGCGGAATAACAGAACTGAACAAATCAAACAAAGTGGAATGTTTTATCCAGACTGAGAAGACTTAGTCTAAGTCGGAGTAGCCCAACTACCGGGAAGAAGCATGACATATGCAACCACAACCTACAGACATATCTACCCCCAAAATACTTATTCACTGTTATGGCAAACATATATGTTCGCACATTTCCCAAGCACTAGCTGTCCTCTTAGAATGATCATACCCTTACAGGCGTACTTCGGATTGTCAAGAATAAACAGTTTATTTATTTATATGATGTCATCCAAGGGCTTAGAAATCACATCAGGTACAGTAGGTTAAGCTGCATCGGTTTGTCGGGAGTGAAAGCTCGCCATGCACATAAACACACTCGCAAATTGATAGCAGGGCGGCAGTCAGTGATTCCTAAACGCCTATGTTGCAGTGTCCCTTGGCCAGTCAGATTCAGCGAAACTCGTCACAAAGATGGATCCATCACTCACAGTGTAAACGATATTCCTAATGCCCATGAACTACGCCTATCATATCGTTTATCAGACGAACTGCAAGACCGTTTATGAACCTTACAGTCCAGCAGGGCTTGTCCATGACTGTCGAGTTTGCTATTGTGGATCCTTTGTTCTTGTAACGCTTTGTGCCTTAAAGGATGCAGCAGATAAAAGAGATTGTGTAAACTGCAAAGTTGTTGCTTCAGGACGGCACCCAAGTAAATGTGTTTACTGTCAAAGAGAATGGTCTCCCATTGGTGTAATGATGTCGGGGGGGGGGGGTCAATTTGAAACGCTGGTTGGGTGGAAATTATAGAGAATACTTGTAGCTCGGGTTGTGGATGAGAGGATTGTCCTGTTCTCCGAGCTGGACATTTCGGTTGCAGACGTTTCGTTGCCAAACTAGGCAACATCTTCAGTGCGGCTATTCAGTCCTGGTTGGGTGACTGGGGTGTGATGCATCATCACAATAAGAACCGCGATTCACATTGAACCGGAGCTTTCATAGACTGCAAGGTTTTCGGTTGGGACGCGCACAATATTTATTTCCTTCGGTTAGGGTCCCAGTGATCGATTTGACTAAGGTTCGTTTCTATGCGAATCACAGTCCACCTGGAGATGGTGCGTCACAATTTAACCGCGCAATGAGTGCTTTAAAATGATCATTTCAAGTAATCATTAACCGGTGTGACAAGCGTTGCTTGCAGTACTTAGTGCCTAAATTGGTAGGGGTTTCGGTTAATATCCCAAATGCTCCGGACTGGCGGGTAGGCCTGCTATCTCCTCTTCTCTCACAAGACCAATACTAGAGTACGATTCGCTTGCCAAATGTCCAATCACCCGACGCGAGGCACAGAAAGCCGAACGGGTACAACAAGTCGCTACTCGGCTCATTCCAGGTTTAATGGGATTACCGTACGAAGACCCTACACTCTGTCCTATCGTCATCTGAGAATCGAGCTCATCCTAACCTACCGCAAGTTATATCTCTGTGAATTTCCCACGTAGGTACTGCTAACTCACTTGCGGAAGCCAAGCGCCACGCGTGAACATTGCTACAAGCATGTGGTGCGTAAATAAAGCTTCGAAAAAAGTGTGATAGATGTTTGAAACAGTCTGCCAGAACAAGTCGTAGAACTAAATCTGTTCAACAGTTCAAGACGTTGTTAGATTTATATTTCACCGGCATTCGATTCAGAGAATGGTTTCCCACTGGCACTGCGAGTCCGATGATACTGTAAGTCAAAAATTCTAAATGCTACATAAAAACCTAGAGTGTTTAGCGTATCAACAGGTGGCCGATCCTCTTTATGACCTTTTTGCTTATCTTCCGATGTAGCTGTGCAAATTTACCTATATAATCGCTCTCACAATACGGCATTCATTATTTTGTAGCGAGTCAGTGAGTATATGCGGGCGCAAGGCTCAAACACAGTAGACTCCAAACCAAAGCTATCGCTCAATTCTTCACGTTCCCGACTAAAGCTTATTTTTGACAGGATGAGTCAACTGGAGTACGTAATCAAAGCACGCCATAAACCCTAAGATTCCTCTGCTTCCGACATAAGCAAATTTCCTCCACTTGAACGATGTCTGATCATCGTTACCGTTCCAAAATCAAACGGAAAAGCCTACCGAGAGAATATTTAAGCACGATGCTTTCTTAAAGTGGTTGGTTTCTTTACTATTGTAAGAGGAGGAATAACGGATCATTCGTCTCTGCCATCCGCTTTGGCAGGAAGCAGGATGATACTTTCCAGGTTCATCCAGTATATTTCGTTTGTCAAGGTGAAAAGTAGTGTTGCTGCAACTTCAGGTGGGTCTCGCTTCTTAAGAGGGAGACCTTTCGTGTCTTAAAGGAAATCTTCCCGGAAGACCGAGCAAGGATGTAGTACTCCGTTGGTGAACTGCGGACCTGACGATCCAATGGCGAAGTTAATGTTCATATTTTATATTTTTGCGTGGTTCATAGGAATCTGAAAGCCTGATGACGACCAGTCTTTTGCACACCCGGGCTCCAGGGTCTAAGACTCGACTGCTTGTGATGCCTGCCAATGTGCGTAGCCCGTGAAATAAACTGGATAATATTCGTCTTCTAAATTTACTGTATCATATCGACTTAATGGCCTTTATTGACACATGGCAGTCCCTGGATTGCTGAGTAACAGTTTTCTAGAACTGCTCGTCTTGTTACCACCCATGGAACTGGCCTTATACTCTGCTGATAGTCCGGGTTGAGGGTTCATCCTGTAGATGTTACCTGTGACACTGTTTGTGGTTCTGAAATATTTTGGTGTTGTGTCCATGACAGGCCATTCACTCATGGCTCGTGTTGTCTACACACTCCCACTGGATTTCGAATCTCGATTGCTGTACTCGATAAAAATGCACGGATAAGACAGAGATTGCTTAATAGTGGAGGATTTCAAGGTTTCAAGAGTTAACTGACATCTACTTTATTGGGATATCACCCAGAGACTTTGTTGCTGTTATACTAGAAATTGTCGTCAAAACGAATCTAACAACATATCTGGTCACCTACTCGGATAATTCCTGTCTTGTCGCAGCATATCTTCGATCTTGTGCTCGTACCTCAGCCGTCTGATACCACTGACTAAGAGAGTCTCCATGCTGAAACTTCCTACACTTCAAGTGTATCTCTATTGTACATCAAGTTGTTCCAATCTTATCTGGCAGTTTTTTCTAAAGACTCTCCTCGGATCGATTGAGATCCTTATTGTATAAAAGAAGAAAACACTGAGACTGATTCAACTTCTCACAGTCGGTTGCTTGATTATCGCAACTATAAAGGGATCAGGAATCTGTGTACACTGAGAGAATGTGAGAAGCTGTAGCAGCATGAGCGTTGCTTGGCTGAGAGACCACAGTGTGGTCCGGAAACTCTTCGCGTACTTGAAAAGAAGTACTACGGCTGGTTGTGGCATACCTGATTGGTATTCGCAACAGACTGACGCCATATTTCATGACGATGAGGTGAAAGCTTGTCTTCTAGCCCCGAAGTATTTTTTCACTGTAATTGGATAGCACTTGCTAATTAGGAACTATACGCTTATACACCCACTCTCTCGGAGCACATCGAAATTACAAGGAAAACGCTGTTGTATTTTCTTCGAGAATTGCATTAAAACTCCTCTCCATACCCTGCTTATTTGCACCCGTTGTTCCTCAAGACAGTGACTGAGTATGTTGCCGAACCAATCTGTCAATTGTTTCGGCACTCCCTCGACGGTGGTCTTCTTCCGCTTGCTTGAAAGTAGGTATGGTGAAGGCTAACCACAAAAGAGAAAAGCGATATGATCTTAGGAGCGACCGGCCGATTTACCTGATGTCGATCATCTGCGAGACTACGTAAAGGATTTTTAAACAGGCTCTTCAGATTCATCATGAAATTCCGGTTATCATCATTCCTCTTCGACAAGGTTTTCGGAGTGCACGCTCTTGGGCCAACAATTTGCTTATTGCTTGCAAGAAGTGGGTGAACTGAATGGATGTCGATAATCGCCTCGAAGTTGCTCTTGTTAATTTCACAAAACATTTGATATTGTTTCAGTTGAATGGCTCCTTATCAAGCTCGGAAAGATTAGCACCGTTGGCAATGTTCGCTCCTGGATTGCTGGTTTCCTAGATGGTCGTATTGTGAGGGTAGAGATTAATAAGGTCCTATTTTGGTCTGTTTTTATAACCAGTGGTGTTCCGAAGAACTCCCAAAATCCACTTCAAGGATCTTCCAAGCTTGAAGACACTGATAAATTGCGAATTACGCTCGATTTGTTGCACGATTGTTCTTTTAAGTAAGCATTGCCTGTTAACCGCGATAAATGCTGCGTTTTCCTGATTGGTGCCGCGGAATCTATTGGCGCCTACCACTTTGGTGGTTCCTTGTAGGTAGCTCGACAAGAGGTCTCAGTTGGAGACTGTCTGAATCGAGGAAGTTCCGCATTGGCTCGGATGTCACGGTATCCACCCGGGTCATGAATGGATGAGACGATCTCGTTGAACGTGTTTTCATTGTCCAGATAAAGGAATGTTTAGAGCGTCGGTTGAATGACCCCACGTTGAGCATGTCTGAATTCCGCTGCTTTGACTGCAGCAGTGGCGGTTCCTCATGGAACACTGTTTAGCGATAACAAGCATCATACAGCTATAACCAGTAGTGTTCCGCAGGACTTCCAAAATCCTCATCAAGGATCATCTATAGCTGCGTCAAATTAGCCGCTTGATCTACACAAATTATCTCAAGATGTGGTCAAATACATCCAAGCTTGATGATACTGAGAAATTGCGTAGTACGCTCGATTTGTTGCACGGTTGTTCTTTTAAGTGACCATTGACCGTTAACCGCGATAAACGCTGTGTTCTCCTGGTTGGTTCTACGGAACCTATCGGCGCCTACCACTTTGGTGGTTCCTTGCTGAACAACGCGACTTGTAAGATGGACCTGGGTATATTTGTGTCTCCGGAACTGAGAACAGCCCAAGGTACGTTGCGGAAAGTCGCCGCCGTCAACAGGATGCCGTGCGCCATATGAAGAGCATCCCCCAAAATAACGCCTCAGATCTTCAGGTTCTTGTTTTCCTCCCACGTTCGTCCAATACCAAAATACAGAGTACGTACTACAAACCCTTACAAAAAGTCTGAGTTTGCTTTGATCTAGAACGCCCAGAGGCGTGGATTAACATCTGTGTCAGTGCTGCATGATTTAGCGTATCCCTTCCGACTTCAGCGTGTTAACTTGTTCCTTCTAGACTACCGTTGTCCCTGTAGAGATCTGATCCACACTAAACACAGTCTGAGGGAAGAATGAGGACGGGAGTTGTGACTCTTATTCCAGCTCAACGTAGGTAGCTCAACAAGAGGTCACGGTTGGAGACTGTCTGAATCCAGGAAGTTCCGCATCGACTCGGATGTCACGGTATCCCACCCGGCTCATGAATGAATGGGACGATCTTCTAGAACGTGTTTTCATTGCCCAGATAAAGGAATGTTTAGAGCGTCGGTTGAATGACCCCATGCTGAGCATGTCTGGATTCCGCTGCTTTGACTGCAGCAGTGGCGGTTCCTCATGGAACACTGTTTAGCCACAACAAGCATCATACAGCTATTAAACAGAAGCTACTGAAGCTGACACTGATTTCCTTTCCACTTTTTAAAAACCTATGCATCTCTGACTAGGCAAATTTTACCTTCCAACTTTGTGAAGCATTTCGACCCGCGAGAGGCGTACGCTTTTATCACATCAGTAGTTGAGTGCCTGTCACTCAAATCTTTTTATCATGATTCATAGCACTGAGTTTTTGCGTTTTCTGTGGCGGTGTACATCATCCCTGCCAACCGACAGAAACAAGGATTCCCGCTTCATCCCGAAATTTCCCCGGCGAACATAAACTTACCCACACAGCCGGTGATTTTGTGACAGTGGAATCCTACTTTGGTTGACGGTGAGCGAAGTTACTCGTTTCCACCATGCCGGATGCACCCAATCGGAAAGGCGGTAGGTAAAAGTAATCATCCTACGACTCCATTCGTCGCCCACCACGAGGAGCTGAGACACCGATAACTCATTGGCTGAATGGGCAGCGTAACCGCACGGCCAATCGCGAGAATTAAACGCACGGATTAAATAATTACCCCCTCTCTCAAGCATGCTTTCTTTCATTGGCAAGTCTGTGCGGTAAGTTGCAAATAGAGCTTTACTTCAAAGTGTTGTATGAATATTTTATAAATTTGCGCATTAGCGTATATGTAATTTACAACGGAGTAGCATGTGGATTTGAATGACTCAGTCAGATAGACATCACCCGCCCGAAAAAGCACTATACGATAGTTTCAGCCCCTCAGAACTCATAAGCATTGCGCATTCCACTTGGACTTAGCGGCATTAGAACCCGCAACTTCACTAATATCGTTATCTGGTTGAGACCACTGAGCTACGGCGGATGCTAACAACCGTCGTAATTAAGTTACTAGATGTGATTTGGCGCTGCTCACTAGCCACTGATTTGTATTTTACTGCCTTTCAGACGACATGGTAGACTTCTCACCAAGCGACAAATCTACCAAAGTTAAGCCGCCAAGTAACTTATGGAATTATAAACAGTTTGGTCTCGATATCTTGAAAAATATTTGGAACCGATCGGGAAGTCATCATTTCAGAAAACTTGGTAGACCACCGGTTAATATATCTATGATGATACACAACCTTTCGCTTTTGGCCTGATGAAGCTTTTATGTCAAAAGCGAAACGTTGTGTATCATCATACATACATTAAAAGAGTTTGATCTCTTACTGAAGATAGATAACTCAACATCTCAATGACTGTGCCTCTGCTCCATACGATGTTAATGACTGTGGTTGGAAACTGCCCTCACACTATGACTTAGAGGCTGAGTACTCGTTGTTCACACTGACTACTGGAAATTAGCTGCCGTGTAATTTTTACTGACTGGTTCAATGACATTTTCCCTAGGTTGATCACTGGGGGTTCGCAGGGACTCAGGTACTTTGAGAGATTGACAACTGCCTAAGGTTCTGCGATACCCGTGAATACTGGAGAAAACCATGATGCTAGGGGATTGGTCAGCAATCGCACACAGAACTGTTTAGCACTCTATGTCAAGCAATCCAGATGCTGCAAAGGCAGCGAATGAGTTCGTTACCACAACACCCATATCTTCTATACACTTAAAGGCCTCGAGTTCATTATAATGCAAAAGCTCCACTTCACCTGAGGAAGTCACACCAAAATCTGTTAAGTCCTTTCTGATAAAAATGCGAGGCGAATACAAATCGTGAGCAGATCAATGTTGACTACTTGCAAATAAATCGTCAGGGGATCAGTCACACAAAGGTAAATGGTGGTGATTTAGTAAACAAGTGACGTACCCTCCCACGGTCACAGAAACAAAACGGTGCTCATAGAGGGTATCAACCAATTTCGGCTTCTACCCAGTGGACTAAGCTCTGTTATAATCTGGATGCACATGACAATGATTACCACTATATCGTCAGTTTCTAATATGCGCAGCATTACCGTTTAGTACCTGACCCCTTAATCATAACAAACACTTTATTCGGTTTTATAAGTTTATAGAAATGCCATCTGATAAGCCCTACGGGGTTATAACGGTGTGCCGATCATCGCCACGTATTACATACTCGGCGACAAGCAGATACTCATGACAGTCGACAGTAAAAGGGTAAAACCATTTATTATAAGGTGAATGTTTAGCAGACACTAGGGATAATGCAATGAACATATGACGAAAAACACAGCAAGGGCGTTGTGTCTAACAACTAAGTACAGCTACTTCCAAGTGAATACATACAACAAAGTCTATCGGTCAACCAAACCTAAGCGTTGTGTGTGCCCCCTATAGCAGATGGCAAATGCCTGATCTTCCACCCAAGCTACCATGAAGCAAAAACGTCCTTCAGCTTCCAATGTACATGTTCGCCTCGGAGGTTGAACTATAGTTACCAGAGTTTCCAGAACATCCAACTATCCTGGCCAATAGATCTGGTGTTAAAACAGCCGTACCGAAAAAGAATCGGGGCTCGTTTTCACCTAAGTACATGCCACTATGAAGGCCGCCATCAGTTTAACTATCCTCTGTTTTATAGGTTTTTCTAATGGCGGCGAACTTCACCATAGCACAAATATTGCAACTCCCAGACTGCGCAGTTCAAAGCGACCCTGACGGAGCTCCCACTTCAAGTTCAACCACTACTTACCTGGACTTCGCTGCCAACTCAGCAAATATTCAAACGGACCAAACGTATTGCGTCAACTTTCTCCCAAATTTCGAATTTATCCGGAACCTACTATTTCAGGTTACCGGGAACAGCGTCACTGGAAGTAGGAAAGAACCGTTGTTGGCTGGTGAGATACGCCTTACTGGTGGGACAGAAACGCAGCGCTGCTCACAGGGTGCTTGCGGTACAGTTTGCGGATCATACCAGAAAGACCGCTCCGCAGACTCCTACAGCAATAGTGGAGACGTTAGACGGAGGAGGGAAGACGATCACAGTTCTCTTCAACCACTAAACTACACACAAGGTTGTGAGCAATCGGTTGTCATTTCGTCAAATTCGAGCGTCCTTGTTGAGAACGGTATGGAATCCGGTAAGCTGTCAATGCAACCTTATATCTGAATGCAAGTAATAAAGTGTTCTATCTCTGCAGTGTGTAAACCGGTTCAAAACATCCACTTATCATCCAAACATAAATGCATGCAGAATACCAAGTAATTTATCAAAACTTCACCAATCCCCTAGGTAAGCAAATATTTGATGTCAGTAGTGCGTGTTGATCCTAACATAAAAGATCAATTGTGAGACGTGACCCATCTAGTGAACATATTTGGGACAGTGGTAGAATGCTTTTTCGTAATTATTTAAGCCTATGAGTTGTTTTACCTAATGACTTTCTTATCCAAAAAATAAACTTCAAAATGGGCTACCTATACAGACTGAGAGCAAATTTGCTTGGCTGTGTTTTCCAGAACGACTAATACGGTAAATAGAAACAATGCAACTCAGTCCTCGGAGGTAGGAATTACCGGTTATCCTCTTTACGCCACCGCTTGTTGCAACGATTAACCCGATCAATGATGGCTCATCTGAAGCAGCGGTATGAGTGAACCGTGGCACGCCATCTCGAGCTGGAACGCGACTTGTGTAGAGGGTCGGTCATTTTGGTCCCTGCGCCTGTGACTGAAAATAAATATTTTTGGGTGTCATCTGTTCACAGCACTGTGCTCTAGAATCGGTTTCGCGCTTCGAATGAACTGACAGCGATTCATAAAGCTTTTTGCTGTGTAGATACAGGCGCCGGCCGGTGGTCTCTACATCGCATTTGATTAGAGCCGCAGTCCTACTCCAGTAAAAGCTTCCTACGTTGACCGCTAAAGGGAATGAACCAAAGTGGTCAACACATGAAGTCTTATTAAAAAACGTTTGGGACTAATAGAGCCTAAACATTGGTTGATCACACATTCTGTTCCGAATATACCAGAGGAGCTCTTAGGTATTGGCACAGAGTGAAATCAGCCAATGTTGGAGAAGTCATAATAAGGTGTGCTTTCCTCTGCATCAGCTTCTCTCTTATCACAAACGTAAATTAACATGTTAGCTAAGAGCTGATTAATTGACGGTCAGACCTGCGCTCCAATTCCTGAAACCGACCTGTGCAATGAGTAGAAATATAATAATAATAATACTAACAATAATAATAATAATGTATATTCCACGTGGGACCTGTCGTGTCCAAATACTTTGCTTTGTTTTTGCCCTCGATTCGCTTAACCTACTCACACTTCTATTTAGCACCCGTTGGCCGATCATGTGATCTTGCATTTGCTTGGTTGCAACGCGAACCTCTATCGATTCAATTGTACCGCGCGTGTGTGCGACAGTTTCCTACATACATAAGTTCCGGTGCTACGCTAGTCTCTTGCTTTTTCAGGATATAACAAATTGGCGTCGCGTATTACCGATGTCTTTGCATGCTACTGCCCCTTCACCCTTCCTGACTGACTCTGCGGTTACCCCAAATGTAGTATGCTGGGACGACTGGAAAAGTAGGTTTTCAGATCATATTTCTGTGCTACCAACTCTCAAGGCATCCGTGACGCGGAAAACGGAGGATACTTTAAAGCTTTTGCGCTCGCACCTACGCTCAGAGGGTCGACGTATATTTGATGCTCTAAACTTGCGAGAGAAACCCACGTTGACAGAGACCTTATCGGCCCACGATAAACATTGGGGTGTTCGAGTGAACACCTACACTTCTCGGTACAATTTTTCGCAGCTGAAACAAGCATCTGGTGAATCAGTGGATACATACATTTCGCATCTTGTTTGTTCTGTTAAAAATGGTGACTACATTAGTATTCCCAAGCAAAAGTGGAAGAAACCATGCTAATACAACAACTTGTTTCTGGTCTCACGGATTCTCGGATCAGAGCGAGTCTCCTAATGGAGAACGCAAGAAAGCTCACATGGGACAGGACCTGTGACGTGGCTCGCCCGAAGGTCGCAGTCACGGAAAAAAACAACATTTTTCTCGCAAACACGGGAGCTACTGAAATTGACCATTTGGATCCTACACGCTCTCTGACGCGATCCTCAGTTAGCAATAAGTGTTACCGTTGTGGAAATGCTGAACATCGTGCAAATGATAACTCATATCCTACAAAGAGTGAAATCTGCCGGAACTGCGGTAAGACCGGTCATTTCGCTCGAGTTTGTCGTTTCCGCGCCATTTCTTTAGTTGATTCTGCAAATGACTCCAGTGCTTCTCCGGTCACCACTGAACAATCTATATATGTTTTTAATGAATGCGAACATCCACTTTCGTCTCCAACTCTAGCACCCAAACTGCCTTCGCCAGATATTCGTCGTGTGTTTTTTGAAGTTCGCATCAAAACCATTTTTCTATACATGGAACTAGATTCCGCATCACCAAACACAGTTGTGCCATATTGTTTTTAAAAACAGCATTCTGGTCAGCTAACTGTACACGCTTCCGTTTACACATTCAGCAGTTACTCCAATGGTGATGTCCACATACTCGGTTTTGTTACGGTTTCAATGTTCCTTATAAACAGCAGGAAGCGTATATTTGAAGTTTGTCTCTAAAATTGATAGTAAGCCTGTATTTGGACGCAATGCCATTATCTTATTGGGCCTATCACCGTGCCTCAGCCGGATGACCATTGCCAGTGTCAACCTTCATTTGTTGCGTCCCAGTTAGCCAAATCTCTTTCTTCCGGATATTGGTAGAGTACCAAAAGCAATGTACCGCATTCGGTTGAGCCCGGATTATCAACCGTTCAGTATTCTTCAACCTAGACCTGTACCTCTGGCCAAGCGAGAAGCGTTGTCGCAAGCTTTAAAAAGTATGGTCACGGAAGACTTGGTAGAACCCATACAGTGTTCTGAATGTGTTCATCCGCTAGTTACCGTTCAAAAGAAAGATGGCTCTATTTGTGTATGCACCGACCTTCCAGTTCTTAATCGACATATACTTGTGGACAAGTTCCCTCTGCCTTATATCGACGAGTCGATGGTTAAGCTATCAAAAGCCAAACACTTCTCAAAGCTGGATATTCGCAGCGAATACTACCACATGTCTCTGACTCCAGATTGCCGACATTTGACTGTTTTCCTTACGCAAGACGGTTTGTATCAATACAAAGTGCTACCAATGGGCCTTAGTAGTGCCCCAGCAGCTTGGCAGAAAGCTATTACTCCATCGTTATCAGATCTCAAAGGATGTGTTGTTTATATGGATGATATTTGCGTCTTTGGTAGTAACCCCACCGAACATCAGGAACACCTTCATAATGCGCTGCATAGACTGAATGAACTGTAGCTCCGCTTGAATACCAATAACTGTCAATTCACTGTAATGGAGGTCGAGTTTATTGGGCACGTTCTTTCTACCTCGGGTATTAAGTCTAATGTGAAGAACACCAGAGCCATACTCGATTGTGTAAAACCACGCAACGTTGCACCGATGAAACATTGCTTGGGTTTGTGTTCTTATTATCTTTGACATGTACCGAATTTTGCGGTTATTGCTGAGGCGTTACGAATGTTGACGCGCCAAAACCAGGAGTTTCGTTGGGCTACTGAACAAAACATTGCTTAGCTAACCATAAGAGCGATGATTGAATGAACCCCCCACGGTAGCGATCTTCAATGAGCACTGTCTAATGTTTGTTTCAACGGATACTTCAGATGTTGGCTTGGGTGCAGTTCTGTCCCAGCTGCGCAATGGCGAGGAGAAAGTGATTGCGTACGCATCGCGTACCTTGTCTGATACTGAAAGAAATTGTTCCACCGGCGAGAAGGAGTCTCTCGCATGTGTCTGGGCATGTGAGAAATGACACTTTCACTTATTCGGACGTCGATACACTTTGCGTACCGGTCATTCTGCTCTTACAACGCTACTAAGTAGCGGTAACAAAGGCCAAAAGCCGGTACGCTTGAGTCGTTGGTACTCACGTTTATTGAACTATGAGTATGAAATAAAATACGTGCCAAGGTGCTTTAACCAACTTGCAGTTGCCTAGTCGAGACTCCCACTGTCCAACGAAGAGGAAAACGAGGAGTTAGAGGAGGTGAAAATGACATCGCAGCTCTCAGACGGAACGCCTACAATAACATTTGATCTGATACGAGAGCACACTGACAAAGACCCTGTTCTAGCGCAGCTTCAGAAGTATATCTCCACTTCATGGCCCAGTCGTATCAAGATCCAACCTGAATTAGTTCTATACTATACCCTACGGAACTAGCTTTCTACTGTGATCAACCGCGTTATTAGAGACGAGCAGTTTGTAGTCCTTGCAACCCTTATTCTTATGGTGGTTGCATGTGCGCATGAAGGTCATCCAGGGATTGTGCGAAACAAAGCTCGGATGCGACAATACTATTGGTGGCCGAAGTTGAATTCTAGCGTCGAGGCCGTTATTCGGGAATGTTACGCTTGACAACAATCCGAGAAAACTGCGATGTCGCTGAATGCTCCAGTCCAACCTATCGTGAACCCAATGAAGCCATGAGCAAAATTTGCTATCAATATTATAGGTCTGTTTGTCAGTTCACCTCCGCAGAAACGAAACGTGCTAGTGGCTACCTGTTTCCACAGCAAATGGCCAGAGGCTATTCTATGCGAAGACGTAACTACAGCCGTCATCATAAAGTGGCTCCGTTGTTTGTTTGCAAGGTATGGTTTGCCAGAAGAAATAGTCACTGATAACGGTCCACAGTTTCGAAGTAACGAGTATGCTGAATTCCTAAGGCTCAATGGTATCAGACCCACGAGGACTGTACCTTATAATCCTGCAGCGAATGGACTCGTGGAACAACTTAATCGTACTTGGAAAAAATCTCCACAAGTCCTTCGGCTTTCGGGAGAATCCTGGGATGATGCTTTGGTATCTGCATTGGAGGCACACAGAACCACTCCACAAACTGCAACGGCGAAGACCCCCTCGGAGCTAATGCTGGGGCAAACAATTCGAATTCGATTAAATGCAGCCTTTACATCCGAAGAAACCGCCGATAACAGAGAATCCGAAATACGGGCTGTTTAGCAGGCTACCTATAGACGCGCTGGGAAAACTTATCCTCCAGGGACATCT